AAAATATTATTATTCGTTCTCATCCTCGTAAAAATGAGTATCTCTCTTAGTTTTTAAAATTATAAATGCTTATGATTCGATTTTGGATAATTTAGTAAGTAAAAATGAGTATCTCTCTTAGTTTTTAAAATTATAAATGCTTATGATTCGGTTTTGGATAATTTAGTAAGTAAGTGAGATCGTTCTACCAAACCACTTTCTAGAAAAATCGTGGGTGGGACCCTCTCCCTTAAGTGTTAGGTTCTTTAGATTTTATAGTGTTACGTTCTTTAGATTTTATAATATTGCAGACCAATAGAAACGAGTTGTTAGTCAAGTTGAGGTGTTTGTGGATAAGAATCTAACTTGGGACTTGAAGTGGAAGTGGTTGTTCTTTGTTCTATCATCGAAAAATAATCACTAACTTGTTATTACATATTTATGATGTGCCCATTTTCTTAGAACCTGATAGGTTGTGGTGGTTCCATTTAAAGGATGAGTTTTTTCACTAGCTCTAACTTACTCTATTCTCCTTGAGTGCAAAATATTTCATGTTCCTCCTCTTAATTCGGAGAACTTGGTTTTTCCTCTTATCTGGGGTCACTACTACGTAAAAACTATTTCACAACGGTTATAGAAGGGATACTACCACGTCTGATCAACTATAGTGAGATAAGGGGTGGTTGTATGTATGATGATTTCCACAACGGTCGTGCGATCGTGATTATAAGTCATTTCGCGCGCTACATATCATAACTGTTACTTTGAACAATTGTTTGTATATTCTTAACGCATAAAATTTAACAACGGTTGGTATAAACAACCATTGTGATATATACACTGAATTTATTATAAATTATGTAAAATTCTTATTTTGCTAATGCTCACTAAACATATAACATTTCAATCTGATCTAGAATATATATAATAAGACAAAATAAGTTATATTAGAAAAATAAGTTCACGTTCAATCCTAGACAAGAGTATTTTAACTCCTTATCCGTATTTTACTCTTTTACATTTGTATACTCTTTTTCGTGCGACCGTGATTATAAGTTATGACGTGCTATACCTATCACAATTGTTACTTTGAACAATCGTTTGTATATTCTTAACGCATAAGATTTAACAACAGATGGTGAAAGGTACAGTTAAAGAACTACGAGCATTATAAAGTTCTAACGGTTAAAGTTCTAGAATTGAACGTGTACTTTTTTAATATAACTTTATCTATCATATTATAATTTTCTAATGCAATCTAAAAAATTATATATTAATTCATATAAACTAAAAAATTACTTGTTTCCCATAATGGCATCCACAATGAAAGGAGGATTAAACTAAAGTGAGAGCTACAAACTTGTGTTAATTTTGAATGGATGTAATTCTTGATCTTTTACACAAGTTTGCAGCGCTCACTTTAGCTTCATCCTCGTTATTGAAACAAACATTCTACCTACAAGTCAAAACATGCAGAAAATTCAAATATTATGAAACAAGAAATTGAAACATAAGCAATAATACTTAAGTAGATTTTGAAACATAATCTCCTGTGAAGACGAACCTATAAGGTAGCAATTTGTTTAGATTTGATGCAACAAGGGTAATCTTTTAAAAAAGACGAGTTCACTGCATAACTTTAGGGTTTCCATATGAGAGAGACGAGTGACATAAATGTTACATTTTTTTAGAGAGACGAGTGAAAGTGATATATAAGTAACACCTTTTATAAAGTTGTTTATAAGAACCGTGGTCATATACAATGTAAAATTCATTATGTCACGATAAATAAAAAATTATTGGAGGTGAGATTCAAACCCTTCCGCTCTTTGTATATTTCACTATGGTGTAAGTTTAAAAGTCTTTACACCAAATTTTAATCGGTAACAGAAAATAAAATGCTAATGTACTATTTTTTTTAATCTTTGTAGTTATGATTTTGTTTTCATTCTTATAAATCTTTTTTATTATTTATATATGATTATTATATTTTTTTAGTCCTTATATAATTGATTTATATCAATAATGATATATTATATGACTAATATTTGAAAAATGAAAGTAAATATTTTACAGATCAATTTTAATATAAATCAATTCAAAAAAATTAAAATTATAAGAATAAACATAAAATAAAAATATTCACTATAATAATTTTTATATATCATAATAATCATAAATTGCTTTAAAAGTCTGCACCTTGACAAGGGAGACCATATTCATAACCACAATTTAAAACCTTGCGAAGACATAGTTGAGACTTGTGGTTATTTATTAGCCTCCAACTTTGTTCATTTAGTTAATTTGGTTTTAATGGTGAGCCCATGATCTGAAAATATACAGCAAGTTTTTGGACTTATGTAAAATTTCTTAAATGCACTTATTAATGACATATATATTTGATGCAAATGTGGTAATATATATAATGACGATCATGCATTCCGGTAAATTATATTAAAAAAATTTAATTAATTATATGATATAAAAAAATAATATATTTTTATTAAATGAAACTGTAAAACATTTTTATATTGACCGTACATAACAACTAAACCATATATATATATATATATATATATATATATATATATATATATATATATGAATATATGAATGATGTACTTGTTGTGAGTTTTTATCTGGCTTGTAGAGAAAAATGGAAGTAGTATTAGAAGAGAGGGGGACCTGTTTTAGGACATGTCTTCATTATGATATCTTGCATGAATAATGAAATGATACATCACTTTCTTTTGCGATGATTTCACAAAGAAGTGGACCAACTTTGAGTGTGCCATTTCATCCAAAAAAACTGTGATATGTACTATTTGGAATTCTTTATATTTTTTTCAAGTTTTGTTTTCATGATTCAGATGCATGGTAGACAGTTGAAGGTTGATGCTTGTTTTAACTGTTTATCCCCATGTGCATCTTGCTTTCATCTCAATTTAAAATATTCTTGCAACCAAAAGTGTTTGACTATAATAGCCTTTTTCATATAGACTTGATCAAGATTTCTTCTTAGTAGGTTGTTTGTTGGGCTACTCGAAAGTGAAATTAACATGATCACTAAAATGTTATTTCGTACGTGAACTCATGATGAATTTTTAATCTAACTCACCTATTAGAGAATTTGAGGTCTTAAGCAAAATTATGACTTAGGTATGCAATAGAGAATGTTTTCTCTGAAATAGTGTTGGACAAAATAAGTTTTAGGAGAAGATCTAGATTTCCATAATTATTAGTAACACATTTTTTCTTTATAACATATTAGTAGTTAATATTTAATTATAAAAAAGAAAAGAGTGAAATTCGTTGTAAATGGAAATAGACCAAGACATATCGACAAGACCTATGATCTAATTTATGTCAAATAAAAATTAAGTTAAATATATTATTTTAAAAGACAAGACTTATATATATATTATATAAAAATTAAGTTAATATTTATATATATATATATATATATATATATATATATATATATATATATATATATATATATATATATATATATATATATATATATATATATATATATATATATATATATATATATATATATATATATATATATATATATATATATATATATATACTTAGAAGATTTAAATTATTAATTTTAAGTTTAAATTTAAATTTAATAAATTTATTTAATTAATTAAAATATTAAAAAAAAAAGATACGTTATGATCTGACCTGATCAGAAGGGAATCACTGGCTGACCACACTCTGTTGGGCTGCTGCCTGTTCACCGGTAATGAGGAGGAGGAAGGGGTGTACCTGCAAGGCACTCCGATGCCAAAGTCAGTATGTGGGCAGAGTGGTCACAAGCACAAAAAAAAGGGTAAGAAGTGAATTACCTGACCCTCTTGTGAAAGAGAGTATTTATAGAGAGACCTCAGCGCTGGGCCAACGGCCACTTGTGTTGGACCGGATGGCCAGACCCAACCCAAGTGACTGCTAGGGCTTACGTGGCGTAGTGAAGATCAGGACATGGTATTCGCCCTAGTCCAACTGTCCCGTGATCTCCGGAAAGTGGGTTTGACCTGCTCCTTCGGAGATGGGCAGTTGGTCGGTGATGTGTCCCCGCGGAGGGGAGCACGTGGAGAACGTGTGAAGGACATGTTGTCCTGCCCGACAAAGGAGCAGGTTCTCCCCGCGGAGGGAAGATTCTGCCCGCGGGGAGGGCAGTGTTTGGTCGATGGGGGAGTCTTGTGCCCGACGTAGTTGAGGCAGGTCCTGCTCGCGGAGGGATTCTGCCCGCGGGGGTTGTTCTGCCCGACGAGGGCAGTAGTTGGCAGCGCCTCCCTGCGTAGAGGAGAGCGCCGAGGACATTTGGAAGTACGTTGTTCTGCTCGACGGGGGCATGCCCTGCCCGTCGAGGGGTCACGTGCTCGGTCGGCCTATTAAAATCATATTGAACCTGTATTGTGTATCATTGGGTTGGACCGCGAGGTGAGGCCGGGGTCCAGGCCAGAACAGGTTACATATCATAAAACCCTTAAAATTTATTAGACCAATTTTTATAAATAAACATAAAGAACACTTTTAATTACTATTGTTATTAAATTTAATAGTTTAATTTATATTACAAAAATGATACCATATTCAATAATTTAAATTTTTTTGCATATTTAAATCCATACTAGAATAAAATAAAATATTTTATATAATCAATACTAGATAGAATATCAAATTTAATAATTAACTATTGTTGATAAATATTTTGAAAAACTTATCAACAATAGTTAAGTATGTAAGCTATAGTAGTATTATTTTAATTTCCGCACGTCTCCTATAACACTAGCATCATACAACATTGACCCTTTGTACGAACTTAAAAGCCACCGTATCAATTTTCTTTTATTTCCAATTATTTACATATCCATTAAAAAAAAGTGCTTATCCATGCTACAACTTTTAGATGTGATCCACTTTCCCACATCGATGGTGGCAAATCACAACAACTAGTATATATAACCATCAACCAAACTCCTTCTTTCTCCTCTTTTCAATTCACCATGCCAACCACACTAACAACAAGTAGAAGAAACAACCTCAAACGCCTCAACTATCTATGTTTCTCAACTTTCATACAACCTCAACCTCCTCCTACAAAATCACTTCTCCAACAAAAACAACACCAAATTGATCCCAACCGTCCATCCCTCTCCACCGCCACTGCCACCGCCACGTCATCAATCATGATAAAAAACTTCAACACTCTCTACCACCACCACCACCACCACACTACCTCTCCCGAACCTAACTCCGAACCAGAACCTCAACCCGCCGACTTCGCCACCGCATTCGCCTCCAACCGTTTCTTTTTCTCCTCCCCCGGCCGCTCAAACTCCATCGTCGAATCCACCTCGTCATCCTCCTCCTCCTCTTCATTAATCTCCACCGCTCCATCCGACAAAAAGAAACCAATTTTCAACGGAAGCGTCGCCGTGCCAACATACTCACCGGATCCTTACATGGACTTCCGACGGTCAATGCAAGAGATGGTGGAAGCGCGACCGGAGTTGATGAACGACATCAAATCCAACTGGGATACATTACACGAGCTTCTTCTTAGCTATCTCGCGCTCAACCCGAAGAACACACACAAATTCATTCTCGGTGCTTTCTCTGATCTTATCGTTACTCTCATGTCATTCTCTTCTTCAAATTCTTCAAATTCTTCAAAATCTTCATGTTCATATCCACCGCCGCCGCAGATTCTCAACGACGGCGGTGGCCGTGGCGGTGGATGTTAAATAGTTGTAAATTTTCAATTTAGATATAGTTTTTAAGTAATAAGAAGATGCATGTGCATGTGTAACATGATAATGTAACGTGTGTGACAGATAATCATTGTCTCACTTAATTTGATTAATTATTAGTATTACTACTAAATTCTTCATAAATTAATGTGTTTAATTAAACACATGTTGATGAAGCTTTATGTATTGCACTCACATCAAGTGTTATTGTGATTAATTAATTAATCATTTTGTTTATTCAATGCGGAACTGCCGCACCTGCTCATTTGCATAATCAATCCATAATTATAAATAATTTATATGTTATAATTTATTATTAAAATTAATTATTATTGTTATAACTGATTTAATTATATTTATAATCAATTTTATAGTTAGTTTGATTTTATTTTATTTCAAAATTATTTTTGTAAGAATTTTTTTATTTAAAAAATATATATTTGTTTTTAGTTTAAGAAAAATATTTATGTTTAAAAATAAAAAATATATATATTTTTAATTATCCATAAAAACTCATTCTTTTTTTATATTTTAAAAAAATTTAATTTTTTATTTACTGAAAAAAATTTCAATTTTTTTTTCAAAAGTAATTTTTTTTTATAAAATTTAACTAATTTAATTTTTATTTTAGATATAGATGTTCAAATTGTGAATTTGGTTAAAATCATATTAATAACATATGCAAAATATGAATTTAGTTAAAATCATAATAATAATTAACCGGTTTTTAATAATCAGATTTAAATATGAATATGAATAATTTAAATAACCAGTTTATTTGAGCACCTCTAATAAAGACTCTTATATCACATCATTGATTATTATAGATAACAAACAAGTATATTTGTTCTGTTTAGACTTGTTTTGCAAAAATTAAAATAACAAACAAGGTGATATAGAAATGACATGATTGAGAGTGTGGTCTTAAAATTTTAGTTAGTTCTAAGAAAAAATCGGGTAGGGTGGGCATGTGGCTTTACACCTTAAAGGTTAAAAGTTGTATAAATTGTTGTTTTGTAAAATTTTCAAAAAAAGAAATAAGGTGAAGTAGAGCTGAGATAGTTGAGAGTGCAAATTATAAAATTTTTGTCATTCCTAAAAAAATTAGGGTGAGATGAGCATGTGGGTTTACACCTTAAAGACTAAAAGTTGTACAAATTGTTGTTCTTTTAGACTTGTTATGTAAAAATCCGAAGAAAAAAGTGATGTGAGGTAAAACTCATATATTTGAGAGTGCGATTTTAAAATTTTAGTCAAATTTAAAATAAAAAAAGTGAGAACAAAGTGGACATACGAGTTTACACCTTAAAATTCATAAAAGAACGAAATTAATATATTAAAAAGTGCAAATCTAAAATTTTGATTCGTCCCACAAATAAATGTGGACAAACGGTCATTAATATGTTAAAAAAAGTGCAGATCTAAAATTTTAACCGCTTCACAAATAAATGTGGATAAACAAGCATGCCCGGCATACTTGGCCTTTTTTGCAGCCCTACTAATCACACTATAATGCTGGTCCCCTACCAAACATTGCTAGCTAGCTATGTTTCATCTATAATATGCATCAAATTTTCCATTTTTCTCTATATTCTTATGTATATTTTGTACCTAAAATATGGTACTACAATTCAATTTGAAGGACCAATAACTGGTCACTTTGTGGTCCGAGGCCATTTTATTTTCGTACAATTGTTACATTACTATTTTGCTACCACTTTTGATTAGGTGAATTCAAGAATTGAATGTTCTTTTAGGTATCTAGCTAGTTTGTCAAATACAGAAAATATATGTAGAGGACAAGCTTAGGCTTAGGATATTTAAGGAGTAATAAAATTATTTCGAATCAGTTAAAAGAAAGAATAAAAATTTCTATAATCTGAATCTACAGAGGAGCACAGGACTATTATTTTTTTCTCTCTATTGCATATAAACTATTATTTATTTATAACTTTTTGACATATATTATTCATATGTCTCAAATCCCAGTCAGGTTTCAGTATTGCTATTTAACTATTCAAAATAATCATTATACATTGCAACTTGTCAACAAACATATAGTATATATTTTTGCATCTAGACTGTATAAAATATTGATAGGAAAAGGCCAAAATTTAGAAGAAAAAAATGATAGAAAATGAAGGGAATCAAAAATTGGAATCACTACTTGTTGTGATTATTGATGAAAATAACTCATAATCCACGGTGAAGATTCACTGAAATTTTTGGAGCAGGTTTTGATTGTATAGTACATTGATAGAGCTATGTGCAACTATTGATACTGTATTTTAGTGCAGAAAATGACAGAACAGAAGAAAGTAAATAAGACAAATTTAATAATAGTTTTGTATAGAAACTTATGAGAAGGACATGTTTGAGCATCCCAATACTAATAATGCTATCGGTGGAGGAACAGTCTAGTTGTTAATGGCCAGTATAAACTATAATATGATTTTAATCACACAGTTTAGAAAAAATAGATTTAATTTTTTAAAATTTAATAGTTTTTGTTAATGAATAATTTTCAGTATTTTAATATTCACTTTAGGTGACACTACTATTATTTGTGTATGTATATATATATATATATAGTACCGTAATTGTCAATAGTTTTGTCTATTAAGTATTGTAGTGCAGTGCGCGTGTAACTATTTTGTTGCAACCGTTTTAGCATAGTAGTGGAAGTTTGTTATTTTTTTATCTCTCTTCTTCTATCTTCTTCTATTTTCATCTTTTTCACTTTATCCACCAGCAATTGTTATCTAGAACTCCGGTTCAGATCCACAGAATAACACGAATGCAATTGAATATCTAATGTATTTAATGCAATGCACCAGACCAGACATAGCATTCACAGTTAGTAAGATGAGTAGATTTACTAGTTATCCAAATGGTGAACATTGGAAGGTAATAACCAGGATTTACGGTTACCTCTTAAAGACAAAAAATCTTGGTCTTCATTACGATAGATTTCCTGTTATACTAGAAGGATATACCAATGCGAGTTGGATATCGAGTATTGGAGATCATAAATCTACAATTGGATGGATATTTACATTAGCTGGAGGTGCTATTTCTTGGAAAAGAAAGAAACAAACATGCATTACTCTTTTGACCATGGAATCAGAGTTTGTGGCTCTTTCTTCCGCTAGTCAAGAAGCAGAATGGTTAAGAGTTTGTGGCTTTTGCTAAAGAAAATGTTTCAAAAGTGTTGATACATTGTGATAGCCAAGCCACCCTAGCAATAGCATTCAGTAAAGTATACAATGGAAAGTCTAGGCACATTGGTCTTAGACATACTTTCGTGAGAAAATTAACTAAAGATGGAATCATTTCACTCACCAATATATAAACGAGTTATAGTTTGGCATATCCATTTACTAAGCCACTGGCCAGAGACTTAGTAAAAACAACCTTGAGAGGCATGGGGTTGAAACTCCTAGAGTAAGAGTTTCGACAGTGGCGTCAACCCAATCTTACATTGGTAGAACATTAACCTTAAGATTTAATGGGTAATAACAAGTCGTTGATTTAGATGTTTGTCAAACATTTTGTGATAATGTTGACCTTTAAAATGAGGGTTGGATTTTTATTTAAAATGTTAATAAAGTTTAATAACGAGGGTATGTGTCCCATGGAAAAAGATACAATATGAACTTCACCTATATGAATTTCAAGATGGTGTGGTCTTAAACTGAGAGCTGGAATTTCTCTCATGAAAAATTCATGAAAACAGGAAAAGCACATGGTCATAAATAGTGTTATGTGAGAGATGTAGGCGAAAAACCATTAAAGAGTGTGTGTAAGGTAACGCCGGTATAATCACAAAGTATAAAGGTTCAAAGCATTGCTACCTAACATTCCTATTAGACTTTGTTTTATTCTCACTAAGGTTAAGTTCAAATAGAAAGATATTTAACTGCATTAACATTATTTATTTCTCATTTTTGGAATTGGTCTTGTCATTAGTAGAACATGTGGGGGATTGTTTTAATTTACGAACAATAAATGTCCATGGGTGTGTTCCAAAATGACAAGAAAAGTGGAAGTGAGTAAATGCCAATAAATGATTGAGAAATAGTCCCACATAGAAAGTTTCACTCACTTTAAAAACCTTTATAAAGAGTTATGAACATTAACTCAACAAAAGGATAAAAGAGGATAAAGTCCCACATGGACAAATGTGGCGACGACACCAGCTCCGAGATCATGTCTGAGGGTGTGGGCGTAGAGGCGCTAGTGGCGGCTTGTAGGAGGCACTTGAGCACTTAGCCACGACGCATCGGAGTAATCGGGCTACTCGCAACGTTATGAGGTGACGTCAATGGTCTGGCGGGCAACGGGTGGCGGGCGGCCTTCAGCCGGGCTCATATTGCTCTCGTTTTCGTCGATGCATGCATTTGAATTTTGAATTCAAAGAGAAGCAAGACTGCGCATAGTGTTGCTGCAGAATAAACATAGACAATGCTTGGAAACAATACAACTTTTGGTTAAAAGGTGTTGTTTCATCAAAGGTCGCAACCTTGTGAAATTAAAAGGTGTTGTTTCATCAAAGGTCGCAACCTTGTGAAATAATACACACATGGTCTACAAATACACCGTTTCGGAATTCAGAAAATCACATCACAAATCAAAAATCCTCTTGAACAAATTCCAAGAATTCTTCGCTACAACTTTAAGACATACAAGAGAGTGATTGAAATGCTTTTAAGGAAAGTGACATCATTCACGATTCAGTCCTGGATCCATTTAACTTTACGATATTTTTAACACAGTTTAGAAAAAATAGATTTAATTTTTCAAAGTTTAATAGTTTTTGTTGAAGGATAATTCAATATTTTAGTATTCAGCGTACGTGACATTATTATTTGTGTATATATAGAACCGTAGCTGTCAATAGTTGTATCCACTGAGTATTGTAGTGCAGTGTGCACGCAACTATTTTGCTATAATCATTTTAGCAGAGTAGTGGAAGTTTGTTATTCTCTTCTCTC